CTGGTAGATCAAGGAGTGCCAGTGCAATGACCCAGTGTGTGTAATTCCCCTGAGTGGCTGGTATTAAAGGGAGATAGAAAGATGCATCTGACTATGGATTTCAGAGCATTAAATGCTGTAACTCCACAAACATCACCTCTTCTTGTTAAAATGCCAGAAATTATGGCTGCAGCAGTACAAGGAGCTAAGTGGTTTTCAGTCATAGATCTAGCAAATACATTTTTCTTCAGCCCTCTAGCAGAGCGTTGGTAAAAGCACCGGTAAAAGCTTGGTTTTTGCATCTCAGGAAAAATAAAACTGTTTCACATGAGTTCCTCAAGGATTCACAAGGTCCTGTGATCTTCCATATTCACATCATCCAATATGGGAGAAATTAGCCCCAATTTACACGAAACATGTATCGTCATACATGGATCACACCCAAATTTGTGGGATTCTGAGAAACAACTGTTTCAGCAGACAGGAATTTCTGGCTGCATTCCAACAGGAAGGATTGAAAGTCAACAGACAAAAAGTTCAATTAGTACAACAAGAGGTAAAATATTTAGAAGCAATTTAGGCACTGAGGCCAAACTCCTGATAAACAGAGTGTGGAATTAATTCAAATGTTACCCAGCCCCACCACTCAGTCTAGCTAAGAGCACTGTAAGACCCATTTAATTGTATGCAGGATTTTATTTTGATGTTCACTGAAGTGAGTCGTCCTCCAGCTAAGCTTTTGAAGAAAGCTCAGCAGTGGGAGCAGGGCACAGAAAGGCAGGCAGAGCAGTTGAGCTGAAGGCAGCCCAAGGTGCAGTGGGGGAAGGAATCTCTGCACCCAGGAAAATGTGTGGTTTACCCCTCTTGGCCAGGAAGGAAGGACCAATTTGGCGCCAAAGAGAGGTGGTATTGGCTATTGTTTGATCACCTCAAATCTTAGTAATATCACAACTTTTTGTCGAAGGGAATGAGCAAATTTCTAGTAAGAAAAACTGGAGCAAAGAGAAGTGAAAGATTTCGTTTTACTGAACAAGCTCCATGCTTTGCTAGGTATAAAGCCAGAGCTATATGTAGCACAGTGCCCACAAACCTCAGCACAGGGAGAATCTGGCTTCTAAAGAAAGCTTTAAGGAAGGTAGCAGAGATGAATGGCAAAAAGTGTGGTGTTCCCATCTGAATGGCTTTACAAACGAGTGCAGCCACCCATTACTACATTCATTTTAAGGCCACGACATGAAGGGAGATGTGACTCAGTGTCTGTGGTTAAGCACTTCCATATCAAATGAATAGCAGTTGAAAGATCTCACAGATTAATGGATAAAGGAATTTGACAGAAAACTGCAGACGAGTAATTAACAAATAGCTGAGGAATTAAGGAAAAATGTCCATAGAATAGATAAGAGATAGAAGATGGTAAATAACCAATGAAGAATGGCAAGCAGGGTGTCAAGTAGTGTATCATGAGTTTCCTGGAAAGAAGCACAACTTGGGCTCTAAATGGGGTGGATCTGGCACTCGCACAGATAAAGTCATTCCCATTATTTATTAGTTCCAGTAAGTTCTGACAATGTGAGGTGGTGTCATCAATCTTAGCCAAAGCTTTGGAGAGCAGGAAAAAAAAAATAATCCACAGGAAAAGTTATGTTAATTTTTCAGATAGCTTAAAGGAGTGCATTAACCAGTCCCCAGACCTGGATGAACACAGAAACACTGATTTACTGTGGTGTGTAAGAATAGCTCTTTCAGCTATGATATCAGGCATAAATATTCCCAACATTGGAAACAGTACTGAATAGTGTTGGACGATTTCTGTTTTGCCTGCTCAGTAATGGCAAGGTCTGCATGTAGTGTGGTGTTGCCTGTGTTTTACAGAAGGGAGAACAACAGCAGAGCTATCAGGGAAGCTGCCTGAGTTAGGCACATCCATCTCCATGCTGAAGACAACCCTCTTCAGCAGGCCAGCATGCAGTGAGAATGCTGTAGACCAGCACTATTGTTCTTGTCACCTCTAAGCATGCAACGATCACCATCCCATGAAATCCCTTCCTTCCATCTGCCTTTCTCTGGGTTGTATGAAACCATCCCTAATCCCTCAGTGCAGCCTGAACCTCTCTCTGCTTTCTTAATCTTTGGCTCTTCCCATCCTGTGTAAGTAATCCACTGGTTTCAGACAGGGAAACTGGCTCATCGTGGCAGAGGGTCTCTAACTCATGACATTTTCTCTTACAGAGGCTAGTTTCTTCTGCCGTGAACTAGAATCCCCCGAGAAAAAGCAAGCTAAAAAAGTCTTTCAGCAGCCTTTTCTGTTTTGCCCTCCTGGTGCAGGTTGAAAGTAAGAAGAAAAGGGGGAAAAGATTTTAAAAAGAAATAAAAAAAAAAAAAAAATAAAAAAAAAGGGAAAGTTTTCAAAAGAAAGACTTTTCCAGAGTCCAAACAATCAGTCGGACAATAGGCGGTAATGATTCCACCTCTGTGCTCTCCTGCTGGATGGGGATTTCAAAACCTGTTTCTGCCAGAGGTGGTGAAAGACCTGAGTGATCCTTCTGGGCTCTGAATGAGGAGCCTCGGTGATGAGCTCAAAAGCTTGATGCTCACGTTACAAACAAAGACTTAGCAGAGGGCAGAGGTAAAGCCAACTGGGGCCCAGCCTTCTAATCAGGCCCACACTGTGAGCTCATGGTATTAATCCAGAGCCAGCGACATCAAGGCAGGAGGCCGGCATGACCCTGAGCCCGTCCGACGGTGGCTCACACTGCCCAATGCCGTGTGTTCCACTTAATAAACTCCACTGATGTATTTAATAAAGACACCACACACTTCCACAGTTTCATGTGTGACCTCTCAGTGTTTGCTACCAAAAACACAAAGCGAGGGAGTCAAGGATCATTAGCTGACGAGGCGAAACTGCCCCTTCCTTGCTCTTCTTTTTTCTTCTGAATATCAGCTGCTTGGGAGGCAGTGATTGCCTGTAATCCTCTCTGTCACCATTATAGAAAGTACGGCTTTCTGTGAGAGCTGGGGAACAAATCACAACGTAATTCCCCACAGCCTCCAGTTGCCTCATGACCACTGCCCTGACCCTGTGCTGATGGGCTTCTGAGAGCCCACAGGGGCAGGGTGCTGCATCACCCCATTGCCACCTCTTTCCAATGGCCATCTGTCCACATCAGTGGCTGCAGGAGAGCCATCAGCAATCCCAGAGCACCTCTTCGAGTTCCCCTGTCTGTGCTGCCAGGGAATTTAAGCTTCCCTCAGAAAGGGCAGGGTTTGTACCTCTGTATATTTTCACTATGCAGGCTAATGAAAACCTTGTCAGAAAAATGTCTGCTATAAAACGAACAGATAACTGGGTTTGTTCAGTAGGTTTTCTGTTGAGTTTTGGGCTTTCTGGATTTTTTTTGGTTTTGATTTTTTTATTATTATTATTTGGTTTGAGTTTTTTTTGGTTGTTATTTGTTGGAGTTGTTTTGGTGTTTTTGGTGGAGTTTTTTCACCTTAGCAACAGTGCCAAACAAGACTTCTGATTGATTGGTCTGTTTTTCTTTTCTGCCTAGCTTTCAACATTCTCGAAGTCATCTAATTGTTCAGGACATACTGAGTACTTCTGCACTTACAGAAATCAAGCTCAGATGGAGCTCACTTGAAAGCAAGGCACTGGGAAGCCATGATGACTTTTCAGAAAGTAAGCCGTTTTCATTTTTTGGTTTCTAGAGGACTTTCAAAGGACTTTTTCAAGCAGATGGCTATGAGATCCACAGAATGGAAACCTGCAGTTCTAATGGAGATGGAAAAGTGTGTATAGAGGGGGTTATTCATTTGGGACTTTTTTAGTTAAATAATCTCTTTGTTTGACAGCTATTTGTTCTCTTTATGCAGCTAAAACGCCAGTGCATTTTTGTGGGCTCTTCCTTTTCAACAGAGCGCTGAGGAAATCACGACACTACTTTTCTGAGCTTCCTAGCAGCTCTTAAATATAGGCAAAAGAGCAATTTCCAACTTTAAAATACAGAGGCAAACAGAAGCATAAAAGCATGCTCAGATCAGTTTGGTTCAGAAATCCCCCGGAAGCTTGAAGCAGCTATGGCTGTGTTCCCATGGCATTCAGAGTGGGTGCTTGGGCCTGTGCTCAAGACCAAGCCCTCCTCAGCTGCCCTATTGATCTGTCATGAAAACAGGTCTGCACTAAACTTCCATGCAGCCTGGAGCATCCATCAGCCTGTGAAGATGGACAGACTGGCTGTGCCCAGGCAGTAGGAGTATGCATCTGAGAGGCTCTGCACTCTTGTGCATGTGAGAATCAATGACCACAGTGCGGCAGAGCACATGGGCATCTCCCTTGAGCACGGGCATTCCCAAGGCACCCAGCTCTGAGCCTGGCCAGCCAACATATGGCACAGCCACACACCCAGCTCCCAGCACAGCACAGCCTTTGTACCTTAGTAAGTGGAAACAAAACTAGACACCAGCAGATAAAGTCTTATCTAGTGCACACCATCTGGACTCAGCAAAATGCTTTGTTGCATTAGAAAAACACTACCAGTCTTGCATCTCCCAGATGGGAAACTGAGTCTTAGCACAGGGGTGGTCCTGCTGGTTGGGTAGCCCCAGGCATTCCTCAGGGCCTTGCATCTCTGGGGAAGTGCACACACACACACACTCACCCCCTCCATGTCTGTGTTTGCATGGATTTGCTGTATGGTTGTCCCACACACTCTCCTTGCTAGCCCGTCATAACCATTACTAAAATATGCTTATCTCATATATGCAAATAGCAGGATATTTATAAGGTTCTTTGAAATTTCCATAATTGTGCTGTAAAAAAAATCTCTTTGCTTATCTCACAAAGTGTTGTAGCCACAATGTTACTTTTATTGAAATCCAAAAATCACTCAGCAAAATAAGGATAGTTAAAAACCAACAGATTTTTATATTTTTAAAATGGAAAGAAAAGAAAGAGCAAAACGGATTTTATTATTTTAAATTAGAAAGTTTAATGCTCACCAAAAAGGATATAAGCTGTAAATGTGTTTTAGCAGTTCCCAGAGAAAAAGGAAGAGGCTTTAATAATAACACTGTGTGCTCCTATATCATTTTCATTAGAAAAATCTCAGAGCACTTTCTGCTTATTAAAGAATGCAATGCCTCAGAACACTCTTGGGATATACTATAGAAAAGTGAAGTAACAGCTATAAATCCACATTATGCTCCATCCTGTGACTACCTGGAACTTCTTACATACAGCTCCCTGCCGTGTTCTGGGATGACAAGTCAACCTGGCTGTGGCTGCAGCTGTCTGCAGGCAGCAAATGCAGTGCAAGGGACTCATGTATGGGCACCTTGCTGGGCCAACACCTGAAAGGTATTTCATGGAATCATGGAATCCTTAAAGTTGGAATAGATCTCTAAGATCAAGTCCAACCACCAACCCATGCCCACCATGTCGACTGACCGTGCTCCTCCATGCCTCATCTGCCCTTTGCTTGAAATTTCTCAAGGCGATGAGAAGGAGCCTTGAGCACAGGTAGGCCAAGCAGCACACCGTGCTCATGTTGGCTCCTGTCACCTGAAGTCTTGCCCTTGGGGACCATGTGAAGAGCTCTGCGGAGAGCCTGCTCTGGGGAGCCCTGGCTTCACACGTGTGGGTTGCTCAGCAGATATGAGAGCGTCCCCCATGCATCTTGAGCATAGTCTGGAGAGGACAGGAAAAGAAAGATCTTATCCTAAATTTAGCTGGAGTCGTAAAATGTACACTGAAATAACAAAAGGAGGAAGAGAGGATGTAATGGTAGAGGATATTCCTGGGGCTGATGAAGAAAATAATGTTAAAAAATCTCTGGTGTTTAATTTCAGAAAATACAATAGGCTGAGTGAGTGCCCAGAAGAGGAACAGCGTGTTAACATATCTTAGATAAACAGGAGCCAAACTGTTAGCCTGACAGAAAAATGAGAAAACCCATCAATGCAATGGGGGAAAATAATAAATTAAAAAACAGATGGTTCGAAGATGTGATTGCATCTTCAGCTTCAGCGAGAGGAAAGAAGGGGAATACACACGTAACGCACGCAGGCCAGGAACACAAAAGCTGGAAAAATATGAACAGAAAAGCCAGACTCATCATAATGAAGTTAATTAATATTGCAGGACTTCAAGTTATTTTTGGTCTCCGTGGTAGGGACCCCAGAATTCAAAGCCTCATTCTTCATTGATATGAGAAGTTTCCTATTTCATCCATGCTCAGAAAAGAGACTTCTTCCTTTATGTGCTGGAGAGTGAGTCAAGGCAGATGGGAATTATTCTGAGCTTGGAGAAAACAAAGAAGCACAAATTAATGGATTACTGGCAGAAAGGCAGTTAAAGCGTTCTGCCAAGGCACATTTCAGCTCTACACTTCTTGTGCATACATATTTTTTTCTGTAATTCTGTTTAGATCAAAAGTACATGACCAAGCAAAGATACAAGTCTATGCTGTGGGAGTGGGCATTAAAACAAGCAATATAAAAACAAAGGAAACAAGTTTGAAATGACTAGTAAGGTGATTTACAATCAGTACGTGAAAAATAGAACAACTCCAGTTCATCCCAGAAGTTCTGTGTGGGTATATGTGCATCTGTACTCCATCATACATGCACGCATCTATACATTACTGTTCCATATGCATACATTCTGTATAGTGCTGTCAGTTGCATGGGGTCCTTACAGCCCCAGGGACCTCAGCCAGGATCCTTGTTCTATCAGAATGAGAAGTTTTGCTTTCAGGTTCAAAAGTGGCAGGGTTTCACTCGATTCTTTTGCAGCATGAGAGCCTAGAACCTGGAGCTCAGCTTCCTCCTTCCGTGACTCTGTGAGAAATCTGCAAATGGCTTAACTATGCAAATTAATTATGCACAGATGATACAAGATATGATAGCAATATTTATTTCGGTCATAATTGGGCAAGATGATGGAGGCAGAAGCCTAAGCTGTACTTGTGTTTGTATGCTTTGACTCTTTTGTAACTCATAAGACCTCAATTTTATATCCCTGGGGAACAGAACCTCACTGTGCTTGGGGATTAGAAACATGAGACGAGGAGGTTCAGTTGTTATGTGACTTTCAACTGCTTCCTTATCTTCCTGACGCTTTTTTTCCCCTTGTGTAAAATTAGAATAATGACATTTCTTCATATGACAGCAGCTTAATGCATTTATGCCTAAAATACTTAGGTGAAAGGTGCTATAGATTTCAGAGATTATTGTTTATTATCATAACTGTTATTACTGCTGTTTCTGAGAGTTTCACTCTCACATATATAAGGGCAAAATATTATGAGCATTTTGCCTTATTTTGAATTTAACACCAATTTTATTTCAAATTAATTCCTTTGAATAGAATTATTCCTGAACTGCATCAACAGGGGACCAGCTGCTGACCCCAAGTGTTTAAGAACTACAGATAATCATGGATGAAAAGAGGCAAAAATATATTTTATCTAAGAAGTATCTACTGTTGTGATAGAGACTGAAATTAAAGTATAATCCAGAGAGAGAGAGAGAGAGAGGGAAAGAGTATTCTTTAATTAAAATCAGCTACCTCAAAAGATGGATATTCTCAGGAGTGAAATTTGCACTGTGCTGAAGGCTTCCCACTTAAACCCTTGATGATGCAGGGAAAAAGAATTCTCAAGGAGAAATATTGGCATTAGCTGATAGCCACTTGCCACTGCACAATACAGCAAAATTTGCAGAGAAAAAATATGTGGACAATAGAACGGAAACACGGACAAAATAGGAAGCTATCTGAAACACAAAGCCGTGATTATCCAGCAACAAATGAATAGTTTGGCAAAGAAACAGACATAAGATAGGAACTCGGAGATAGAGAAAGAAAAATTAAACCCAAAGCTGTGGAGATCAATGAAAACAATCAGCACTTTCTGCCAGGAGATATGTTAAAAAGGCTGAAACCAAAGTTTCAGATAACGTGTTCAGAATGATCCATCGCCCCAACCAGCATCTCCATAGCAATTAATGTCCTAGGCAAAGACAGAGTATGACTGAAGCAGCGGAGGTTGCGTGGACCCCAGTGGCAGGCAGCAGGCAAAAGGCACAACAGCCATTTGGGTAGTTTGGGGCTCACAGTGTAATGGCCTCACCTTCGGAAATGGACTGCTTCTGGCAAGGCAGGAACCACAGCGCATGCCCTGAGGGAGTGCTTGTGAGGAGCGTTTCATAGCGAGTCCTCTTCTGTTCCCATTTTAGCTACCATCACAGATGGCTTCCTGCAATACAAAGAAGGCTTCTGGCAAGGCAGTTTGCTACATAACGTTTGGATTGGATGTGATGGAAGTATAACCTTACAGAAACTCCCTTTCACCAGCATTTATTTCTTTGTGCTCAGCAGCTACTTTGCACTGACACTGCCTTCCTCACACTGTACTCACGAATCTCTCTTGCACGAAGTTTACCTAATAGTTTTCTGCAAACAGGTGGTCTCTGTGCAAACTGGTAATGCCACAGTGAAGAAAAAGATACCTTATTTTATTTTTTTTTTTAATGTTCTCTGGAAGAGTGATTCATTGCTGTGGTGGGATCAGAGCTCTCTAGCTACATCTGGGAGGAGAAGCAGAGCACCCTCCCTCTGCTGAGAGCACCCTATTGCTAGAAAGGATGCACACATCTCCACTGACTGTAAATTCACAGAATCACAGAATGGCCAGGGTTGGAAGGGGCCTCAAGGATCATGAATCTCCAACCCCCTGCCACATGCAGGGCCACCAACCTCCACATTTAATGCTAAATCAGGCTGCCCAGGGCCCCATCCAACCTGGCCTTGAACACCTCCAAGGACGGGGTATCCACAACCTCTCTGGGCAGCCTGTTCCAGTATCTCACCACTCTGCATTTTTGCTGTATGTGATGCATTTATTTATTTTCACAAACAGCCTAAATCTAAATTGTATAATATTGACCACACCATATCACAGCCAGGCAGGATGGGACATGTAGCAGGGGACTTCTTAATGTACCAGATTCAAAACCATGTATACATCTTGGCTGAGTCCCAGATCCCAAAGGGTCACTGTGGATTCAGAATGAGTTTCAGTTCAAGCAGAGCAGTTGGTTGGCCAGTCATGAGGGTACATTGTGCAGGTACTCCTTCTCCCAGACCTTTGAAGGTATTATAATATCCATAGTAATTCAAGTGTCAAAATATCTTAATCAAGCCTGGTATTAGTTACTAGTGTTCTCCTGAAAAGAAAAAACAATTTGAGGCAGTAAAAGAGCAAGGCCCTCTTGGCGATTTCTTACAGTGGAAATTGGTGGATCAGTATACAAGCTGAGTTTCAAGTCTCAAAGTTACAGCTTCTCATAGCAGCTCTCATCACTCCTCATTCGCCCAGTTTGCACAGATGCCACGGTCCTGTGGAGCACCCTTGGGCACTCAAGATGGCTGTTCTGTGGGAGAAGTTCTGAAAGTCCAGCGATGGTGGAACATGCTGGCAAGCAGTATTCACATGTTAACAGATTTCCACTCAAACTGGCAAATAGGAATGTCTATGTTAGAAATGCTGTGTGAAAGCCAAGGCAACAAAAGTCAAAATGTGCATATGATAATATGTGGTACACACAGTATATGTCACAATGTTTACCATCACTTCAAAACATGCACCCACCCACAGTTCTTCACTAGCGGCATCCTGGAACTCCTCCAATTGGGATTAGCTATATGCAGCAAAAGTCAATTAAAATCAGCCATTATTGTACAGATCATGAGATCCATAGTGCAAGATACCATACTCATCCCAGATGCTCATTAGTAAAAGTGTGCTGCAAACAAGTCCAGGACAATTGCATGGGTTTTGTGTACTTTTCTGATTGCCTTATTTGCTCAGTTAGCGTATAACATTTTCAAATGGGTTGGATTAAAATTTTTAGCAAATAGCAAACTCCCCAGAAACACATTCTGTTGCAATTTGGAACTGTTGTAAATGTAGGTCAGAGTCAGTAAGTTGGTTTAGCAAATGAAAACAGAAAGGGAGAGACATGTTTGGGGAAAGGGGAATTGTGTCTACCCAGCTTGCTGGACAAAGACCTGTTAGCACCAGCTCACCTGTTAGTACCAACTTCTTTTACCAAGAGGCCAGCTGCCATACAAAACATGGTGACTCATCTCTGCATCATACTTGTCCTACATTTTTAGCTTCTCTTTAGCCACCTGCTAAAAGCTTGGTGCGCTTGGTTGGGTTCCTTCCATATTTTGCAAAGCTCTTCCACATTAAGAAAATGTGATTTGTCAAGGAGGTAAGCTGTGTAATCTCGTGTACAAGAGTCACACAGTCGTACAACTCCAACAGCTCTTCTGTTCGTGCCACACTTTTATTTAAAATAGTATTCACTGGCTTAGTTCAGAAAAACCTGCACGAATGTCCTTGAGCAGAGATCATTCTCCTGGGAGTGTGTAGGCTGCAGCTCCTGTAGGGAGAGCTGATCATGAACAAGTATCTCAGCTCCCAGGTAAGGGCTCACCAGAATTACAGACCCGCTGTGAACTGAGCCCTTGGAAGGGCACAAACAGGTTTCTGTTGAATAAAGCTTTAACATGAAACAGAAAGATTTTTCAAGCCGTGCATGGACATACACATTTCTAAGGCTGTTTTATAATGTAAAAAATCTGTAAAAAGCACTATTTTATTTGTAATTAGCAGGAATAAGTTGCTTGCTTCAGTGCTGTTACCAGGAGCAGTAGAAGCATACTCTTTGTTTCCTTACACTGCCTTTTCATGTTCAGTTGCAAGGTGAGATTAGTATCTGGAAACCTGATGCAATTTCTGCTGTTGTCACTTCACAAACTTCATCAAATCTACTCCAAGTAATGTATTATAACTATACTGATGATCAGAACTGAATTTGAGAGTGCACAAAGACTGGCATCAACCGCCACTGTGCTTCCGACCGGATCAGAACACGAACACAACTGCTGGCATCTGTTGTCAGAGGAGCTCCAGCACCGTTTTGCAGACAGATGTGGACGGTAAAAATTAACACATTGCTCGTTTCGTATACATACCAGACTTCTGAAGGTTTTGAGAACTCATCTCTCAATCTCTGTTGTATTTGTTCCCATTCGATTGTTTCAGCAGTACCCCTTTAAAAGAAGCTTCCCTACTTTAAAGCCAAGTGCAGTCCTCCCCATTGTGATGGATTCCTTCTTTTTCCTTCCTAATTGGAGCCATTTCATCAGATCGAATTTTGACAAAGATAGTAATTGTCATCCAATTTTAAGGCAATGACAAGATCAATATGAATTCTCCAATGACAAGTATTATTACTGGCCAAGCACAAAGAAACAAAGAAAATGAAAAATCCATGTTCTGGGGATCAAAACAGTTTGAGGCACATGCTTGCCTTTATCCACGTGTGCGTGAATCCTGTTGACAACAATAGACATTGTGCATGTGGATGGATGGGTTAGAACAGATGGCCTTTGCCAGTGAAATAGCGAACGAAAGGCAGCACCCAGTGCTTTAGTGCATCACAGTTTCAATAATGTGGGAGTCAATTAACTTACCAAATAGGCTTGTGGGGAAAATTACCCACAGCCCCATCTCAGAGAATTCTGCTTCTCCTTAACATTTTGTTCTCCTTCTGTTTCCTGAGCACCAGGAATAAATACTCAAGAAAATCTGAGTTCTTTAAGGTAAATATATTCAATCTACTTATTTTTATGTAGGCAGAATTGCTTGATTATTTTTATAACGCTGTTTAAGTGAGATGATCTGATTAGTTAATGGCCCAGAAAGTTCAGATAGCATTCAACTGAGGATCTAAAATGTGTTGCAGCATCTTTAGACATTTCCCCCACAATAGTGGGGTAGATCCTCCATTTGTGTGTGACTATTGCCAGATACTGTCATTAAACATCAGTTGGTTTACCCTGGAACAAGAAATTTCTCCAAGGCGTTTGACCCTCAGTGCTCAGCTCTTGTTCCACATTTTCTGCTCAGTGTGCATTCAAGTTACCTCTATACACACATTCATTTTGCCAGGAAACCAGACCTTCTGCTTTCCCACCCCCAGAATGCTGAAAGGAAATAGACACTTTCTTTTCTTTTGCAGTATTTATATTCAAAATACAATTTAACTGGGGAAAGGGATTTTGGCAAAATAACACATGATTGTCGTACTAATTGGCAGCTGCAATGATAACAACCATGACAAGTTTTAGCTCTGTCCACTTCAATCCAGCCAAGTCATTAAAGGTTTCTAAGCAGAGGATTGTGTTATGAAGCCTCTTACACACTGGTAGCTACATCAGCATCCCTGGGTTGCTAAACGCATTTTTACCACCCAAATTCAGGTTTAGAGGGATTTTGATCCATGGAGGAAGGTCTCAGCCAAGCACTGAAAAGATGCTCGTTAGCCTCCAAAATATAAATAAAATATTTACAAAGAGAATAATTGATGTTTACTTCAGGCTATGGTTAAGCAGGCAGTGTCTGTGCTGAGCAATGCAGTGACCACCTGCCACAAATGCTGTGATATTTGACAGATCCCTTTCTGCCAAGAACTATAATTCCTATTTAAATCTAAATAGAGGAGCCATGAATGCAGATTTCCCATCACAAAGACACTGATGTTAATCCCCGGTACAGAAAAATAAAAGCCAGAACGTTTTATTGGATTTTATATGGAAGATAATTAAACAGTATTTCTTCTTTACTTGTTATACAGCATCCCATCAACTTTCCTGAAATCTGTTTATAAAGGAAACCAGAAAGTTTCATTACATTTATATGTAAAAGAAAATTAGCATTTTGTATGTTTGGGCTCACATTAGAATAACAAAAAGGCAGGTAAACAAAAATGGCCAAAAAATGAGACCAATAAATGGAAAAAAAAAAAGAGAGAAAAGTAAGGCAGGCACAATGCTGTTCTCTATGTACAGCTTTATATTCCAAGCATGCTAACAGAATGAATGTTTATGTGCATACATACATATCATATATATTCCAATACCGAGCAGTTCTGAAAAGCTAAGCTCCCAGAAGTTAGGAAATGTAGGAATTGCATGTGCTTGCACACCCCTCATTTGGCCTTTTTGCTTGTGTACACGGACGGGTGCTATTTTTTTCACACACGCATCGCACAAAATGGTGCAGTGTAGGCAGAAAATTGGCTGGCAGCATGATGTAATCTCCGCGAGCTGCTTTGCAGAAGCCTGTTTCTTTCTGCCCACAAGCCAGTTTGGTATTTTGGATGTACCCAAGGAAGTTCTCTT